GTTCGGGGTCCTTGAGTTCACTCTGGGAAAGATTTCACCAGAAGTCCTCTTTCACCAGCTTGCGGCGAGATTCTCTGTAAGACAGAGACTCAGTTATATTTAAAGAGTAAATATTAGAGACAGGAGAGGAAAAGACACTTGCATAGGCGCAAGCTGGCAGAAAGAGCTGCCCCTCCGAGCTCACAGCCCCTTTTCCACGACTGTGAGTTGTGGCATAGAGACTCCACATTAGCATGGTCCTGCCTTGTGATCTAGGAAGCTGGGAGGTGAAGGGCCTGCTAGGAATTATAGGGACATATACACAATATGGTGAATGTCGCTCCTCCTCCCCCTATGGGTTTAGTTATTTTAGGATTTGGGTTCCCAAAGTCACCTCAGCCTACATGTTAACAACCTGACTGCTGTGGTTGTAAGGAAATACACCACTTGCTTTCAGGATTGACAAAATTTTTAAACAGGCAGTATAGTTTTACTCTGATTTAAGGAGACCTGGTGCTTGAAAACACGTACTTGGATGAGATGATTTACCTCACAGAAATAATTCTTTAAGTAAAGAAAGGTGCTTTAAAAGAGCTCTGCTAGGATGCGTGGAATTAAGCATTTCTTGAGAAAGTTGTAGAAAGAAACACTTAAAGGGACTGAATTTAAGCAGCTCCCAGACACACATCTCCTGTGTCCTACAGCTGAGATTCATACACATCACAGTCATATCTTAAATTTGTTGAAATACTTCTGGCTCCAGATAGCAAGTATCTAACACCCCAGATTTCCCCATTTTGTATCTCTCTATTCCATTGTTCCAGCTGCACTTTTTCCTGTGTCACCTTCCCTCTTTTGTCAGACCTCATCATCTAGCAGTAGAAACACCTGCTCCCCCTCCTCACCAAGTGCAGCTGCTCTGAGTGGTTGGCGAATATCAACTCTATTCATACAGGAGTAACTTGGGTGACAGACCTCAACTGGGAAGAGAAAATGATTGCACCCTCTTCTAGAGGCATATTTCTCAATTATTGGTTCATTTTGGAAGCTAGTCTTGAATATTTTTTGCCATCTTTTTGCATCTACCAAAAAGGTTAAATGAGATGGATCACATGTTCATGTTTTATGTGGGTGAAATAACAGTTTACTTCATCATTATCTCATATCTTGGCCCCTCCTCAGGAAGTGGTATTTACCTGGACACATTGGGTCCCAGTGCTCCATCAAAACAAATTCTGTATCATTCTGGCAATATCATTTGCTGAGGAGAGTGAATAAGACCAAGAAACTCTTCATCGCAGAAGAAAATCTGATGAAACACGACTCCCTGGTAGAAAATACAGAGCTGTCTACTCCACTGTCCACTAGAATATGTCTGGCACCCTTTTCTACTCATGTGGCCGTAATTCTCATCACTTCAATGGCAACTGCCATGATGGTACTGGGGTAGAAGAAATTGCCCAATAGAGACAGAGATAAAGCAAATGGAGAGTGGAATCTAAATCCAGTGGCCCAGACAGTGTGCTACTCGCTTCCCTCTAAATCTTCCAGTCTTCATCTGGGATATGAAACAGGTAGGCTAGCTCAACTCTGAGAATCCTCTCAGTTCTGACCCTCCTAGGTTTGAAAAGAGTTGTATTCTAAGTCTGCACTTCCAAGCAATCACCTTCTCAAAGGTTGCATATGTGACTACATACTTGGTGCGCTCAGAGTTACCTAAGATAGGAATCCAGTGAAATCCATTTGCATGCTACTTTTCTAAATTCCTACATGTTTTGAATGGAAAATCCCTGTATACACTTTTTCAAAACATGGATGAAAGATATGAAAAATGCACTGAAGAGGCCAACAAGCTCCTTTGGTTAAAGACAAGTCTGGGGCCAATGAATTTGGGCTATTTGAGTTTTGTTTCTTAGAGCTAATCTTGAACTTTAGATCTGTTGTGATCTATCAGGAAGGCAAAATGAAATGAAAGCTTATAAAATAGTGTTGCCAAGGTGGCTATATTTTATTTCATGCCATACTTACGTTGTAACCAGAACTTCTGCCACCACAATCATTAGCAAACCTTTTGTTACTAAGGTGGATAAATGATTAGCAAGTCTTGTGACAAATGAAAGAATGAAATACCCCAAATTTTTCATTTTGTACAAGACTCACTGGGTAAATGGTAGCCATTATTGTGGCTGTACCCATAAAGATTATAATTAGATGCTAAATCCTCAGCAGCTCAAGATTTTTAAAGCTTTGGAAAATTGACTTTAAAAACAATCACCTGGCAAACATCAACCTTTCTCTTTTTTACAAGACTTCTGGAACAACTCTAGGGTCGACAGTGTTTTAAGGCTTATGAGGAAAAGAATTTATCGCTTGCAAAACTATGCTGTGTACAAGTACGATATTCCAGTGTGCACAATTCTCCCAAGTGTGCTGGCCTGAACTTCATTAACCCAAGTCAAGAGGAAAGTCGGAGTATTTATCCAGCTCATCTAAGCCAGCCCTACCCCCCAGGAAAACGAATAGAGCTTATCTGATGAAGCAAAGAGCCCTGATGATTAGACAGGATTGATGCATCTTGTGTAAATAGTACACCACAATCAGTGTCAGGACAAAGAATTGGGCAAGTCAGATACCACTCAGTGAGTTCCTTTCATTTGCACTTTCCTTCTGTCATTGTGGCCACCATTCTGAAGATAGAGTCATGATTATAGACTTGTGATTTTAGGGATCAGAATGTCTTCAGGACACAGCACTGTTTTCTTTTGATGACCCTGTGATGGTTCCTTCCCTAGTGCTTATCTGTGGCCATGATGAATGGGCATCAAAGTCACCCAGCCCATCCCTTTGCAACCAGCCTCAGGCCTTTGCAAGGTAAAGTAATTTCAGAGCAGGAATCAATTCCATCATAAAAAAAGGGAGGGGTAAGAATGAAGGTCCTAAAGGAGTTACACCACTTCCTAGGGTTACACAGGTAGCTGGGCATGAAGCCAGGATGAGAATTCTGGCTGGTCTTTTATTGTATGGGCATGCTCCTCTTAGAGCTTGTAACAAATAATATTATCTTCTTAACCCTGAAAAAAAATTCTTTGTAGAGTAGCATACCGCAAACTATTTTTGTAATGGGCTACATAGTAAATATTTTTTACTTTGCAGGCCATATGGTGTCTGTTACAACTATCCAATGCTGTCATTGTTGTATAAAAACAGCCAGAGACCGTATTAACAAATGGGTGTGGCTGTGTTCCAATGAAACTTTATTAATAAACACTGAAAAATAAATTTCATACCATTTTCACATGTCACAAAATATTACTCCATTTTGGACTTGTTTCAACTACTTAAAAATATGGGAAATGTATTTTTATGTTTTTAAGCTCACAGTGGGCTGGCTTGACCCAGGGCAGTAGTTGACCTAGCCCTGTTCTAGAGAAACAAATCTCAGCCCGCTAGAGAGTTGAACCTACATCCTGGCTAGTGCCCACCTTCTCTGGCTGCAGAGCCTCAAAACGCCTCACTTTTCCTCTGCCTAGAGGAAAAATTAGACTATCAAATAAAGTCACTTTTGCACTTCTTTTTTAAAATGCCTCATGTAATGAAAGTCATCCTAGAAATGACTAAAGTCACAGGGTTCATTAGACAAGGTTGGAAGGGAAGAATTCTTTCAACCAACACAGAACCAGCCACAAAAACTAGCTATCTTGTTTTTGTGTTAGTAAGTTGGGTTTCTTTTAGCACAGGGCAAAAGAGAATAGAAGTATGGCTTGTTAACTAGGCTCTAGTGGAAAATAACAAAATGCCCAACCCTTCTTGCTCAGACTACTAGCTCCATGTTTACAATGAAAGGAAACACTTCGGTTTGTATATAAATAGCTGCCTCATGGAATTTGACACATTCCTTGGGTGAGCATGAACGCTGGTGGCCTATTCCTTACACAGGCTGGTTTGTTTGCTCACTTCACAGCCAAGCATTCCCTTGAGTTTGAAGGACTTTCTCTCTGTTTATTTGTATCTCTTCGGTGGAGTTCCCTCTGCTAACACTGTTTTTATTTCTGGGTGAAGAATAAGCAAATGCAGGTCTATAGTTTTCTTGAGTTGGATGAGGCAATAGGTCTGAGTTAAGGGAGAGAATTATATATATATATATATATATATATATATATATATATTTGCTTCCTTCACTAGACTGTCGTCTGAAGAAGGGAGTAGGTCATGAAGGTTTTCTGGGAGCTGAAAGAAGATTGGAGGATGCCAAAGCAGTTAGTTGCCACGATAGTGACTTTTGGCAGGAGCTGCCATTGAATGAAGGTCTGCCTGTGGGTCTAGGGTAACCCAGACCCTTGGAATTCAAGACCATGAGGACTTCTGACTCATTAGAATCACTAGAATCACGTATGCTGGTTCACTGTAGTCTATTACAGTGTTTCAGTTATCACGCGTTTTGGATGCAAATGAGAGAAACCCATTCAGCCAGCCCCAACCAACATAAGCATGTGAATAAATGCCATTAATTCCAAAGTCTGAAGAAATTAATTGCATTCAGTGTCCAAGCAGCAAGCATTATCTCTTCTTCCCTTTTTTCCTACTATCTTTGCCTGTCTGCATGTTGGCTTTGTTCTCTGATGAGCTTTCCTATGTGAAAGAAAAGATGGGCTCCAGTCTTTCCATGCTTGTAGGGTAAGAGTGTCTTGAAGGGTAAGCGCGTCTCATTAAGCATCCATTCCTGTCCCTGAGGAAAGGCCCTTGCTTGAATCTTATGCTCACCCTTGGGTTTACCAGTGAATAGAGAGGTGGGGTATCCCGACGGAGCAGCATGGGTCTGTTTGTTACTAGACTCATGTGGAATAAGGACATTCTGGAAATGAAAGAATGTAGGGCAGACACAAATTAAAAGTTGTGCTCTTTGCTCATGAATTATTCTTTGTATTTATTAAGAATGTGTTTATAAATAATAAGAAGATCATCAGTTACCTCTAGAATTTCTTTATTTCCATTTCAGCCTCTTTTCTTTCTTTCCTCACTAGGTTATGAGTTGAATTGACACAAATGACAAGGACCCCGTCTTACTCTCTGTACTCTTCATGGCCTAGCTCCAGAGGACAACAAACAAGTAGCAGGTATGAAAATAATTGCAGTGGACCATGTATTTGCTCAAGATGCTGCTTATCTACTCTGCTGTGGGTCAAATATGGCAGGGACAAGAGGGTTCATTTTCCTGAGCAATTGCAAGGACTTGAACAGGGCAAAGATTTAGACACCAGTACTAGTATTACTGCCTTACTAAGCCTGGTCTGACTGAGACTGGGGGGCCATCATTCTCAGCACAATCCACAGGTTCTCTGACTTACCAAAGTGTGACACTAGCAAGTGCTTTGTTTGTGGAGAGCGTGCCATACCATGTTATTGACATAGAAAGTAATGACCTTTTAAGTAACATATTAATGGAAAAGTAATCAGCAAGATCCTCAGCTGGAAGGAAGGTACTAGAACACATTGTTTTAAAGTATGTTTCAAGGTACCCTTTTAAAAATTGCCAAAATTCACCCAAAGTTGTGTTAAAATATGAGTACATTCCATATGACCCAGCAATCCCACTCCTAGGTATTTACTCAAAAGACAAAAAACACTGATTCAAAAAGACACCTGCATCCCCATGTTTATTGCTGATTTATTTACAACAGGAAAGACATGGAATCAACCCAAATGCCCAAAAGTAGATGACTGCATTAAAAAGATGCAGTACCTATACAAAATGGAATATTACTCAGTGGTCAAAAAGATGAACTCATGTCTTTTGCAGCAACACGGATGGAGCTGGAAGGGGTCATGTTAGTGAAATAAACCAGAAAGAAAAAGGAAAAAATACTGGATGGTTTCACTCATAGCAGGAGCATAAAGGACCAGGGGAATAAAATAATAATGAACAACTATAAACGAGAGACATTTTATGGGAATAGAGAGGGGAGTAGGATCAAAACTGGGGCAGGAAGAGTGAACAGGACTATGGTTATGGCACAAGGGTGAACTGGTGATGGGAAGTCCATGGGGATTGCAGCTGAAATGGAAAAAGACACAAAATGATGTAAAAAAAATATAAGCTATTATTTAAAAAATCTGAGCACAGTTAACTTTTCAAGACAAGGGATTACTACCTCTAGGGAAAAAATGGAATCATACTATGAAAATTTCATGCCATTACTTCTTTCCTCACCTTCTTCAGGACTATTAGAGCATTTAGCCTGTGTGGACTATACACTTTTTCAGAATCTCAGGTTCCCATGCGTAAAATAAGATGCTTGGCTGAACAAGGGCCCACTCTCCTGTCCAGTGTAAACATGCTGTATCCTCCTTCCTGGCCTGTGTTCTGGGCCTATGTCACCCAGAGCATAAACTCCCTTAGTGCAGCAACATCTGTTCTGTCAGGGAGGAGAGAGCAGGTCCTCTCTCAATGAGACATCTCATCAGCGAGGAAGTGGTTAGTCAGACTGCATATGACAGCCTCTCTCCCTCAGCCACCCAAACATGCCCATGAGGTCCTCCCCAAATCCATGCCTTGCAGGGGAAGGCAAGAAGATATTGTGCTGCTAAATTTGGGTTGTCACGATTTCTGCCCACAGACTTCATAATAAGTACACATTTCAGAGTCAGGCTATTGTCCTCACCACAGCTACAAAAGTTCCATTTATAGAAAAATGAAGAAATTAGTGTTTGTGATATCCTGAGAAGAGCCATCTGAGAATTCATCTCTTTTACACAAAAAATCCAATTATTATACCATTGTCCCTGGTAAAAGGCTGCATTTTTTCCGATGTTGAGTATGTCTGTAAGTCATACTGTAAGAGTGTGGTCACTACATTTTTTTAGATGTGTGTTTTAGTCTGAACACAACGCAGGCTCTCAATAAATATTTGTGGAATGAATGAATAAAAGCATGAATGGACATTATCTTTGGAACTCAGGTGGTGAGGCAGTGTCTTAAACAATGGTAAAGAAGTTTGAGTTGTTATAGAGTATAATAAACAAATTTGAGATGGAAAGATTCTACAGATTCTAAAATAAAATAAGACCTACTTTTAATCCAGAGAAGATTTATTATTTCCAAACTTTGACACCAAGAGCTATGCTTCATAAGAAAACTTTCATGGGTAGTCTATTGGAAAGAGCAACCTAGTGTGGATTAATCTGGGAACAGGACCTTAAGACAGGAAATTTCTTGGACTCTTTCCTGAACATGAGATTGGTTTTGAATTAGGAGTGAGATTAAGGATACCATGAGACATCATAGGGAAAAGGAGCATTATAAGACTTGAGGAAGGTCTGGTGAGAAAGCGCCTCACCTGTAACCTGTGACTTCCAAGGTATTTCATCTTAGTCCACATGTCGATCATTTAGAAGTCAATTGTACATAGTCCTAGCCAAACAGAAAAATTCTGAATAAACCTAAGGTTAGACAACAGTCAGCCAACAAAGGTCTGCTTTTCTGCTAAGTTGACTATTCCAAAGTGCAGGCTGCTTTATGGACCATTGATAATTGCCCCACCCCACCTCAAGTCACTGGGTAAGTAAGTAGCCTATGTTGGAATCAAATATTTTTAGTCAAATGCCCAAAAGTAGATGACTGCATTAAAGATATTTTTAGTCAAGTACCATGTTTAAATGCTTTTTGCCAACTAATGTACACTTTACTGTCATCTCTACCTATTCAAACTGAATGAAGCAAGTAACTGAGTTCCAGTTACTAAAAGGAAATTTTTACCATTCTTCAAATTCAATTAAGTATTCTCTTCATTTTACAGAAAGTCAGAAATTCAGGGAAATGGAACAGAAATGCAATATAGGCAAATGGATTAGAAATATTTACATCATAGATATTGGGGTCTTTGGGGTCTTATATTTGGGTCTTTGCCTACCCCAAGGTAATATGGTGGTGAGAACATGGGCTTTGGAGTTGGAGAGATCTGTGGTCAAGTTCTCCCCCTCTTACTAACTGTGTAACTACTAGGTATTACTCAACCTTCTGATACTACACTATAAAAGGGAAATATTAATGAAAAGTTTATTATAATAGACTGGTAGGGTTGGTTAGATTTAAATGGTATCATAGTTGTAAAATGGTAGGTATCATTAGCAGTTAGCCATGAACCATGCATCCATTCAGTAAAAAATTGGGATCTATTTGTGATGCTAGAGAAATAGCAATAACAAAACAGAAAATAATTTCTGTCCTCAGTAGAGCTTATGTTCTCTGTGTAGGAGACAAACTGCCAAATATCATGTAAAGTGTTAAGAAGATAAAGAAAAAGAAGAAAGGGCTGATATGGAGTGTGAATGGGGAGAGAAGCAACTATAGACTGAAGAGAAAGGAGAGAGAGAGTATATGTGTGGGGCTGCAGACTACCTGTCCAAATATTTGATAAATGGTGGCATGAAATTTGACTGTCCTGCCTTGACAACAAATCTGCATCACATCTTGGAAGGCCATGCTCAAATTTCTCTTCTAGAATGTGCAGAGTTGTGCCTCCTGCCAGTGTCCCAACCCTCTCCTATTGTTCTCTTCCCACCTGTTAGAACAACAAGTGCCATATCCTAAAGCCTCTCATGCATGTAGACACTCAAACCCACAAGTCCAAGTTCTATCTGCACACCCCATAAATGATCTCGGTCCTAAAATGTGCACTCTGGCAAGACTGTCTGGAAGTGGAATCAGAGTCATTGAGGTGGAGAACTCTGATAGTTCAAGTGACTGCAAGTAGGGAATGGGAGCTGGCTGTCTGGATTTTAGTGAACATGTCACCCTAGATCCCTTTGACAATGGAGAGCAATGAATACAAGCAGGACCCTCCAAAGTGGAAGATCAGGGCATTTGCCTGGGACAAAGGGCAGAAATGGTGAAGAGCTCACTGACCTGGTCATTTTGAGCAAAGACCTAGGAACAATCCATGGAAGATTTGAGGAAAGAGTGGTATAGACAGTAAGGGCAGTGAGTGTAAAAGCCCTAAAGGAATGTATCTGATTCATGCCAGAGCATCAAGGAGACCAGATGGGATGGAGGACACAAATGTCTGGAGTAGACGAAGAAGTGGGATGTATTTCAGAGAACTGTCTAGAGTCAGGTCCTGAAGACACATATAAGGTCATTAGAAATTACTTTGGCTTTGAGTGAGATGTAACGATATTGGCAGATTTTGAGTTAGTAAATAGCATCTAACTTGAGTTTCAAAAGAGTCATACCAGCTGGTGTTAAAATAGACTGCAGGTGTCAAGAAGAGGGGCAAGACACCGGCAGGAGACTAGTGCAGTCACAGCCAATAGTGATTGCTTACACTAAGGTTGTACAGTGAAGCAAGTTCATTTTTTAATCTTATTGAAAGGCAAAGTGAAAAGATTCCAGAGTTCAAATGGATTGGGTGCCAGCTGAAAGAAAAAGAGAGAGGTGTCAAGATGATGGCAAGGCTTTTTAACTTGACCAACTGGAGAGATGCAGTCAGTAATTATTTGCTTTGCTTTTTGGTTACATAAAGGGGAACATCATTATAAACTATATTTTTACTGGTGGCAACCAAAAAGTATCTGCATGACTTGAGGCAGTAAAAACAAAAATTTCTAAATAAAAAGGGAATGAGGGGCCCTCCCTGGTGGCGCAGCGGGTTAAAGCACTACACTGAGAAGCTAAAGCCACTTCCGCATGAGTTCGATTCCCGCCTGCCCCGGAGGTGACCACATGGTATGGCAGACCTCTCCTGACCCACCCGCTGCTCCCCTCAGCAGTGTGCTTCATCGATCTGCCTGTTCTGCTCCCCACTCTGTCTCTGGTGAAGCCTCTCACCGCCCCTGAGCCTCTAGCCTGTACCCCGGTTCTGTATGTACAAATAAAATAAATCTTTAAAAAAAAAAGGGAATGAGGTTGAATTGTTCTGCCTATGCAAACAATGTAAAACTTTCCACATGCACATATTTTTCAGTAGATTAATAATATTCACCATTGGAAAGAACTGTTTGCAAAATCTAAATTATCTTGTGTCCAAATCTCATTTTACTAACGAGTTAAAAACATCCTTGTAAGTCATTGTGCCTTTAATCAAAAGGTCAGCACCTGAAATTGCTGTGGCTTTATGGA